AATGAGCTGAATGAGTCAGGCTGAAATTACAAAAAAACCAAAACAGCTGATAGGAATCTTCAACACCAAGGAAAGGAACCACGAAGCCGAGAGAAAACGGGGCTCCTTGTGGTTCCATCTGGCAGGGCCGAGAGGAGGGGATGCGGAGTTGAGGAAGGGCTTGGCTTTGCAAAGTAGTTCCCACAAAGAAAGAGACCTCGTTCTTCCAAGAGCCCGAAAGGGGGCTAACGGCAGCCTTGGAGTGCAGGCCGGAAAGCAACTACCACGAAGAGGAACCCTAGCTCTAGGGAGGGCCTGTTACAGGTCAGAAAGGGGCAAGGAGCAGAGAACATCTGGAGGTGTAGGCTGCAGGCCTGTGCCAAGGTGTCTGAGTAACACAGCAGGAAGTGTGCTAGATTGCGGCGGGGAGAAGAAATGCTGGAAAAGGAGGAGAGTCTGGGCTCAGTGCCTGACTTCCCTGATCCTTTCCTTCTCCGCTTGAACTCTTTCGGGAGAGTATAAGAAAGGTGACTGTTGATGCGCTTCACTGAGCAAGGAGATGGGAGACCGGGCTGAGGCTCTTTCTCTTATGTGGGGAGAAGCTGCGTCTCACACCGTGACCCGGGGAAAACACGGTGCTGTGGACCTGACGAGAGTCAGAACGCCTCCACATTCGATGGTCAGGCCAACCGCTTGGCTGGCGGGGGGCCCCTTGTGGAATTCAGTTCTTGGCCAGAAACCCCTGCCTTAGACCTTGGAAGATAGGAGGGAGGCTCAGCAAACCTGGCGGCTGCTCTTTGGGTTTGGCAAACTCGAGATTTTTCCAGTGCCTTGTGTTCAGCGAAACCGAAAATGTGTTTGGCTAGAAACCCTTCTCTAATTTTTAAACCCCTGAGCATTTTTTTACGTAAATTTGATACACATGTTTTTGTCTTATTTTTATTTAGCTCATCAAATCGAATTAGGAGCTACAATGATGAAGGGAACAATGCTGATTTCCAAGAAGATTCTGGAGCCTTTTTTTTCTTAGAACTAAATCGCATTTTTCTTCCCAACTGTTAAAATTACCAGACTGAGCTGGATTTGAAATTTAGAACCCAAATGTGAAATAAAGATCCATGCTTGGCAAAGAGGAGGCATAGCAGGGGAATGTTCTTAGGAAGTCACAGTTAGAAAGGCAGGGCAGGCGTGGGGTTGGGGGTGAGGGGATGCAGGCAGGAAAGGGGGTAGTTATTCTTCATTGGATGGTTTGGAGAAATTTACCTGGCTTTCCGAGTTCCCCCAGAAAGACCTGCTCGCCACGTCTCTGGTGTCGGACTTTATCATCAGCACCCAAGGAAGAGGAGTTTCTACCCTAAGATTGGGGATGAGGGGGGTCTCCTGTACCTCTCCACAGTAGCCAATTCCAACTGCCCCTCCTCTTCTCTCTAACTGCTTCCCCCCACCACCGCTTCTGGCTAAGCCCGCTCCATCTGGAAGCATTTAAAATGTACAACAATTTTAATCTCGTGCAAAGGAATCTTCGGGTCTACCCTACATACCCATTAAGCTAAATTATACGTGCACAATCTTATTTTGCACAATTCTGTCTGGCCTAGGTTGGCACACACCAAAGGCTATTACTGTCTTTCCCAATTACTTTTTCCACCACGCCATCATTTTCTACGACTTTAGTCCGAGGCCAGCAGTATTTCTCTGAGAAACTCGAGCCACTGAGGTCCCAAGACAAAGATCCTCTTCAGAGCCCCTCGAACCTATACTCAAAGGGTCCCTTAGACACTGTCCAAAGACATTTCTTTGAACTCAGCTACTCTCTCCTACAGACCCTGATCAAATTAGATAGACCTAGGGGCGCCTGGGTGGCTCAGTCATTGAGCATCTGCCTTCAGCTCAGGTCATGGTCCTGGGGTCCTGGGATCGAGCCCCGTGTCGGGCCCCCTGCTCCACGGGAGGCCTGCTTCTCCCTCTCCACTCCCCCTGCTTGTGTTCCCTCTCACACTGTGTCTCTCGCTGTCAAATAAATAAATAAAATCTTAAAAAAAAAATCAGACCTGGGTACAAGTACCATCTTGTTATTTCATAACTGTTCAACCTTGGGGGAATTATTTCACTTGAGTCTCAGTTTCCCAATTTGCAAAATGGGTATAATAGGCATATGGACCTAAAAAAAAAAATAGGCATATGGACCTCCTAAGGTTGTTGTGAGGATCAGATGAGATACTATGTATAATAAACACTGTAAGTTGTCTGGCCCAGACTAAGCAGTTAATAAACATTACTTGTTATTATAAAAACTACACCTTATTGAACTCTACACCTTCTCTAAGAGCACTTACATTTTTCCACAGGTGGCCCGTTTCCTTTTAAACACCCTGCCCACCTGTCCAGTCCCTCACCAAAACTGAACCAACCAACCCAATTCCCTGCGAACCAGCATCACTCTACACAGATGACGTAAGGTTTCTGATCAACCAACTGGGCTTTCTCATCAGTCCCCAGGGAGTCTCCCATGCATGCCCAAGTTTTAAACCTACAGTCTCTTCTTTGGAGCCCTGGCAATTGAGCAATTAGAAGATCTAAAATCTAACTGTGCAGAAATCATTCCCCTTCAAACCAAACCACACCTCTTTTCACTTTATATCGAAAGCATAGGTGTGTGTGGAAGGAGATGAGAAGGTTTTCACTCTGCTTTAAGAAGCAAAATGTTAATTAGTGCTTTCCGAGGACCACCCCCTCTCCAAGAACATGAGTCACACTTCATCTGTCCCTTTTGCAAAGTAGAAAGATGATGGCACCATTTAATATGTCTAATAAATGCCTCTCTCTCAAGGGTGGAAAATATAGAGTCCATGAGCCTAGTATTTATTGCTTTCCTCTGGCCAAAAGTAGTTTCAGCAGTAATTCATGGATCCTGAGGTTGGCCAGAATAGAGGGATCAGGGATCCACAAGCTTCTGGGGCACCTTGGACACTTCATGTAGTATTGGTCCTTGTCATGCAGAACTGCTGTGAAGGCTAAAAGAGAGACATCTACAGGCTCTGATGAATGGCAATTTTTATTTCCACCAGGCTGATCTCATTTGAAATGCTGAGTGATATCAGGAAAGGTGTGTGCCTTCCATGCCTTCTATATACTAGAGATTCCCCCTCTGTGACTTTCCAACCTCTTGTGGCTACTTGTAATTTGAATGCCAGCCTCAGCAATACAAACTCTAGAAGAACCAACCCCCTGCTCACAGCCCTGCCAAATGGGTGGGCCTAGGTGGCTGTTTGTGCCCACCGAGGGCTCTGGAGTAGACAAGCCAAAGGGGCAATTTATGGGCTGGGAAGTCACTTGTGGCCTGGTATAAAAAGGGAGTTGGACCAATGAGATTGCTCTCTGGTCATCAGGAATCGGGAGAGTGAGAAACTGGGTTGACTGGTAGCAGATACATATGGAACATGACTGGCCACATAAGGGCAGAACACCCTCATGAAGGTGACAGACTCCCACTGCTGGGGCTCTCTGGAGGTGGTCTTGATTCCAGAAGCACCCTCCCATAAAGACTGGCTGTTAAGGGTTCTCCTTGTGTACACCATAAACAGCTCTTCTAATATTATTATAACAAGCACCTCCTCTTTTGAGTTAGCTTGAGTGGGTTTTGGTTTCCTCCAACAAAAAGAGTCTTCAATAAAACAGCATCTACCCTTGGGAAGAACATGCAGATGGAGCTATATTTAAACATCCTGGGCATTTCCGGTGCAAGGCATTGCTCTAACAGGTAATTACACAGAACGCGAACACCATTGGTTCCTGACGCACCTCTCCCTTCTATTGTAAGAACTGGAAAAGTTAAAGCTCCCTCCCTCAACCTTCCTTGCAGCTGGGGGAGGTCATGTGACACGGCCCTGGCCAATGAGACGCAAGTGAAGAACTGCTGGGGACAGAGGGGCTGCCTGCTTCCTCCTTCCCGCCCCGCGTGAAGATGCTATGCCACCATCTTGCAACCACGAAGGGAAAGGCAGCGAAGCTGAGATGCCAGTCCTGGCACACTGGAGGGGTTGCACCAACACCAGCTACCACCAAGTTCCAGCCTCCTCAACAGGTGGGAAAAAAAAAAAAAAAGACCCTTAACCTACTGTGACTTAGATTTCTCTACAACATAGAAGCAAAACGTTTTCTAAAGATACACCCTGAAACAGAACTAGATAGTTTCCCATATCATAAGAAACATCTGTTGTTGGCTTTTTTTAACGTTAGTTTTAGGTGAGAAAAAAATTTTTTAACCAAAAAGATGACAACTTGTTTTCCAATTAACTTCTCTAAACATCAGCTGAATGATATAAGTTGTACAGACGATTAAAATCGAAGAGGGGATAAGGTATATACATGAACAACTCTGTGGTAAGGCAGAAAGTGGAAGGCAGTAAAAGGCAGCTGCTTTACATGGATCTGTAGGGAGACCTTACTTCTGGTCGGGGAAGGGAGAAATCAGGGAAGTCTCCACAGCAGACTCGGGACGTTTGGAGATAGGGAGGAAAGGCATTCCAGTCAGAAGGAAGAGTCTAAGCAACTCTGGGAAACTGAAGGTCATGCACAGGAAGGACACAGCAAGTTCTTTCTGGCTAGTTCGGGGGAACAGAGATCAGATTTTTGGTCTAGAAAGACAGACAAAATTATAACACGCCTCAAATGCCAACCAAAGGAGTCTGGGCTTTACTCTCATAGGCACGGGGTATGGTTGACGGTTTCGGAGCTAACAGGAGTCAGAGTACCTGTTTGGGAACATTTGTCCGATGACAAAATGTGGGATGGACTGAGGAGGCAGGAATGCCACTAGGGGCTGTGCAGCTAGTCAGGCGGGAAGTGGGGAGTGTAGGAACCAGGACATTCAAAGGGAGAATGGAGTGGGAAAAAGGACCACCGCACAAGTACCCGTGACACAAGCTGGCTACTGTCTGCATCTGGGGTGCGAGTCCCGGGAGGAATCATGTAGACAGTATTTTATTGCACAAAACAGAAACAAAAACCTCATGTGGTACCTCTGGAGCTGAAGACAGGAATGGTTTTATGTAGATGTTGGAGTCATGCACCTTCAGGTCATGGTCCCCAAGTCCCCTGGTCACTCCAATTGTTGCCATTACTCGGGCCTAGGGGTATAAGCAGAGGGCCATCAGAAAGACACATACAGAGAAAGCATTCCCGTCATAACGTAGCTGCTGCAGGCGGAGAGAGAAGCATTCATTTTCCAATTCCTTCTGTCCCTCTCCATGCCCCTTGCTACTAACTTATGTGGGTAGCTGTTTCCAAGGAAAGGCTCACCAAGATCACTTATGTACTTAAGGAGTGGTTTTTCTACCAATTATCCTAAGTTTAATGGGTTGCTGCTGTCTCTTTTCAGCGTTCTTTTGTAGAGACTAGAAGGAAGGGTATCCAGGAAACTAAATCCAACACGTGTGATGTCTACACCTCCTGAAATCAGTTCAAATCAAATCCAACATGATCTGTCCACCCATCCAACCGTCTGTCTGTGATGCACCCACCCTACAAGAACCTGTTGAACACACCAGCCATGTCTCCTGTTCCTGGGAGGCACTAGTGAGAGATGTAAAAAAAAAAAAAAAAGTGAGCGGCAGCTCCCACCCTCCCAAAGCTCACAGAGGGCACTTCATAGCTAGAGGAAAGAAACTCTTTGCAACTCTGTAACCCGGCCTGCTAACATCCCCACAAATTCCCTCTGGGTGGAAAGGAACAAAATGTCACTTTGTTATAACTACACAGAGACCTCAGGGTTGAGACCTCACCACCTGTGCTTTCTCTACACAGTTTAGTTTTCCCAGTGCTTTAAGGAAACAATACTATTATACTAATGCCTACACAGTCAGCCTAAATAGGTCCCGGGATGCCACAGATTTGACTTAGCCAAACATTTACTGAGCACCTACTATGTGCAGAAATCATGCCTAGACAAATGTCTAAGGACTTGTCCTTAATATAAAGGAACTTGTGAAGGGAGATAAGACATGTAAAATATGGCCAAGTGTGGAAAGACACAAGCGCCATGGGTTAGAGGAGTTCAGAGGAGGTAAAAATTCTGCTGAGAAAGTCTCCCGGAGGTGGTGGCATGACATTTTTGTGCAGAAGGATGGGCAGCATTGAGCCAGGTAAGCACAGAGGGATGAAGTGAAAGTCTTTCTTGGTAGAATGGAGCCCAATGGCCTAACATTTCGATCATCAGTAACATATCCGGTGTAGGGTCATGGTGCCAAGACTCGGGCTTGACTCCTCACTCTACTGTCTGGGTAATGAGGGTAACTTATAAACGCGAAGAAACATGACAGTCCAAAACATTACCAGCATTTTCATCCTGTTTTCCCAAAAAGGCTATGGATTTTGGAGCTGGTTTCAGATCAGAAGATGGGCAGTTTGCATTAAAGTGGAAATGAAACCATGACATATTTTTTTAAAGGCAAGAATCAAAGGGGGTAAAATGCAGGCATGTGATATGAAGCCTGGGGACCTCTGGTCAGGCAGGCTGCAGAAACTCTCTGCTCTGCTGGGGAGCTACACTGACTCCCTACTGGCTAAGAAGTGTTCAACTCTAAGTGTGAAAATCCTGAGTCCTTTGCGGCCCTTCTGCTCTCCCCACTGCAATGGCAGCTTCTCTGGCTGGAAAAGCACAGGTGGGCGTTTTCATCTAAAGAAATCTGATGTTTCTGCTAGTTACTGAACTTGTTTACAGAGTATGTAGGTGTTACCCACACAAATCCTTAAAAGCATTGGCAGGAATAAAATGAGAAGTTATGGCTATGAAAGTCTTCCGAAACTTCTGGGTAGGTGTATGCAGACGGGAAAGAGAAACCCCCTGCAAAGGATCTAGATAGAACTGACGTGTCGCAGTTGTAAAGACTTCGCAAGAAATCATGGATCCCCGACAGGGATCTTGCGCTTCTTCACTAATGGAGCAAGCCTGGAACAGACTGGAGCCACAGTGGCTTTTAAATAGGCCATCAGGTACGATGACAGAACTTGCCAGTCGCCTATCACAGAAGTGTCAAGCCCTAATTAACTGAAATGCTTGAAGAACATGATGTCCCGGTGAAATAAACATCTGCTGAACTGGGGAAGCCCCTGGCTCCTTTAAATCTTATTCTGATCATCTTCTAAGAACACGTTAGTCCATTTTCCTCTGGTATGGGAGAAAGTATACTGTACGTAACTGAAAAGTGTATTTAATACTGATGTCTTTATTGAAGGCCAGCCGTGTGTCAGGTACCAGGCTGGGCAGGTGCATGGGATACAAAGGTAACAGGAGGTGGCTCTGAGCTTCCTGGAACTCCCTGGGTATAGGAGGGTAATACTGAGAATCTCAGCCCCACAAAGCACCACAGCTGTAGGCATAGGTCATTGGGCTGAGAGATGGGCATTAACGGTACCCATCATCCTGACAGGCCCACGCAACACTGTCAGGAAAAGAGTCCCTTCCTGTTGTGATTCTCAATCAGGAATGGTGAGATAGAAGATGGCCCATTTCCATGAACAGGGCAAGTTCGTTTGAAAAATGATCCCTCTGTGAATCAGATGTTTGTATTTCATTCCCTCCACAGAATGTCTCCTTCCGCTGAAATCACTGCTACACTGAGCCTAAACCTAAACCCGTGTGCTCTCCCACACATGTATGTTCAGAGGTGCATGCACGCACACACACACACGCTCAAGTTCTGTCCATAAAGGCATCCTTCAGTTTTATTATGAGTCACTTCTTCCTCCAAAAAACTATGAAATATTGGAAAAAATTCAGTTGAAGATTCTTCTTAATGCGAGCACATTTTTCACTTCTAATTGGAGCTCTCAGCCCAGAGTTGAAGTGTACTCGTGTTCGGAGGAAGAATGCAATGACTCAGAGCTGTTTGTTCTTACTGGTAAACAGTTTCAAAGCTTCCCCTCTCCAGTCCAGGATGGCCATTTCCTCCAGCCTCCGCTCCCAGACCAAGACAAACAGCCTTCCCGTGCTCCACAGCGTGCCTGCTGCTTAGGGTGTGGTTCTGACTGGGGCTCTGGGAGCTTGTGACGAGCTATCTTTGCTAGCTCGGCCCGGGCTCTGGTGCACGGGATCCTCCAGCTTCCTCACAGTGAAGCTTTGGATCCCCTTGCCTGGGGCAAGCGGAGAAGCACCCTTGCAGAGTCTGAACTTCCGTGGTGGAGCGTGAGAGTTCCAGAAGCCGGGAGACGGCTGTGGCTCCACATCTCCCACCACCCCTGGCCAGCTGTGTGACTCTGCAGGAGCCGATTTCGCCTCAGAGTCTCAGCGGCCTCGTCTGCCAAACGGACCTAGTACCGCTGGCCCTGCCTGCCTCATGGCTTGTCAGAAACACAGGGAGATGACATACGCGCATGGGGTCACGGTTAAACGCTGTAAAAAGTTATTCAGATGGATTGGAGAAATGGAGTGTTATTTTCACAAAATGGACTTTCGTCCCTTGTGCTCACCACTCACCTCCCCCTCCCCCAACCCCCGCCACTCCTCGGACCCTCAAGACAGGAGGCCTGAAGGATGATGGAAGGGGAGAGTCTTTTAAGCTGTCAGGGCTATAAAATGCCAGGCTGCGGAGTGGGGCACAGAGACTGCCCAGGGCGGTGCGGGGCCAGAGCCTGCTTCTCTCGGTCCGGGGGGAGTGCACATGCCTACCTTCTTGCCTTCTCCATATATAAGGGGAAACTTCAAGTCATCATCCTCAATGGTTTTGTATGCCCTGTAGGGGGATAAACAACATTTTAAAAAAAAAGGTTTGCACTCAATTAGTGACCCGCTGCCCTGACACAGGCGGCTAGGTACTTCATTCTCCCGGATGCTCCATCACCCGGCACGCTGCCAAACTCCCCGTGCACAGACTTATTCTCCTTCCAGAACTATGTGGGTACACATAACTAACAAACCAGAAGCTATCGACTCTGTATTTGCTTGCAGAGGGAGAAAATGGGGGGGGGGTATACTCATAATTAGCAAGAAGGGGGGAGGTGGGTTTTGTCCTTAGCATTTAGGGCCTGTGTGCTTAGAAGTGGCCTGGCAGCAGCAACAAGGGTCTTGTCATTAATCCAAAGCTGAAAAACAGCAGAGCTCAGAGACGGATGGAGAGTGAGTGAAACTGCTCCCCCAGCCAGTTCTGACCTTCAGGGGTTGTTTACACCAAAGCAGCCTCGTCCTGGGATGGCTGGAGAAGGAACATTTAGAGCCTGTTTGACCTCGGTGCGATAGTCAAGGTTGGCAGAAAATTCTTTGTTTCACCATAGATATTAAATGGCCATTCAACACACAGAAAGAAAATCCAGTTTATGGTTCAATGGTTTGTTCTAGACACGGTTGTCCGGATGCCACTGCATAAGCAGAGGCTGGTCAGGCTAACACAGGAGAGAAAATGAAGTCTACGTCTTGCCATTTTGCTCATAAAAAGTTAAAATAACAAACAAGCAGCAGAGGAACAAGGCACCTGATTAGTAACTGTACCACCCTGGGCAAGGAGCTCTACCTTTTTTGGTCTCAGTTTCCTTATTTGTAAAATGAGGATAATCACATAGGAAGTAAAGAGCTTAGCACAGAGCCTGGCACATGGGAAGTATTCATTTAGTGGTAGCTACTACTACTATTTAATAGATAACGAATACTTGGCACACCAGCTCCCCTTTCTGCAAAATGGGGACAGCACTGCCTATTCACCACCTCAGAGAAGTATTAGGGACACCAGGTAAAAACTGGGGTAGGGTCTACAAGGTGAGGTGCTAGAAACAAGTTGCTTCTCTAAAATAATGTCTGCTGAGTGCATGAAGAAAACTAATTTGTGAAATGGGCTCCCAATCTTGGATATATATATAGGCAACTTGGGAGTGAACCTGAAATCAAATATCCGGAAGCTCTGGATATACAAAAGAATGCAATCTAATTCAAAGAGAGTTCAACCCCAAAGCTAACACAGGGACACCCTTATTTTCTGGGAAATTATTGAGGTAAGTTGTTCCTTCCTAAGGGGTCAGTGAAGATCCAGTGAAGGGCTCCTGTTCAGCCCTGGGCATACAGGTGAGCCTCTCTGGACCTCAGGATCCTCATTAATCAGAGACAGGAAAACTGAGGCTTACTCACAGGGTTGAGGATTAAGATTCTTTAGCACGGTGCCCGGTACACGCTGAGAGCATGATAAATGCAAGTTGCTGTTACTGCCATCAAGTGGGCCCAGAGGTACTCTAGGATTCAATTTTCAAAAAAAGAACTGTACTATTTCCTTTCCCCAAATCTACCCAATTAACACGAGATGGAAATAGCTACTTTGATGTTTTTATAGTCACATGAACTATTTAAAATGCTATGGTATATAAGTCATTTGGGGAACAAATAGAGCTATTATTAGAATACACTCAGCTTGGGGAATGAATGAATTCTTAAACCAGTGGTTTCTCAATCCTGGCTGCATATGGAAGCACCTGGGAGAGCTTTTAAAAATCCTGATGCCCAGGTCACAGCTCAGAACAATTAAATCTGAACCTCTGGGGGTGATAGCCAGGCACTGGGATTTTTTTTTTTTAAGCTACTTTGTGCAGTCAAATTTGTGATTACATTATGCAGTCAAAATTGAGAACAATCACTATAGACCAAGTGTCATTTGCTAATATTCAAAATCAGCTGATCAATTAGCTTGATCCTAAAGATGACACTGTGTGGCTCAAGGGACAGGAAGGAAATGGACTGAGAAAGGCTCTGAAGTGGGTGTGACCAGGGCTTGAGAACGGTGGACAGGGATGTGTGGAGAGGAGAGGCCAGACTCAGACAGAGAAGAGGTCACAGTGGGGACAAGACCAGGAAAGGGACTGGGGCCTGAAGACCAAGGCATAGGAGTCGGAGATTAAATGGGAGGCAGAAGGCAACAACTCCAGCACCAGTGACTGGAAATTATTTAAGCTCAGGAGAGATGGGCTACGAGCACTCTTAACAGGCTTGAAAAGGCAGCCAGAAAGCTGTTCTCAGATCCTCCGGAAGCCCAGGCAAGAATTCTCTCACGGCAGAGACCTTCAGGAACATGAAGTCGGTGTTACCACAGCTCTGAAAGACCAACCCTCACCTTGGAGTTGTCACCTACAGGGTCCAGTGCAAATTCTAATATTTTAGTTGTTATTTTTTCATCTTCGAAAACAACAAAAATATTAAAAATAGAAACGACAACTTTGAAAAGGTTTCTTCTGTTCCTGCCATTGTTGGTTTCCAATCATGTAAGAGCCCTCTCCCTGCTGTCACCAACAAATGACAAGGGTGAATAACTATTAACAAAGAAGTTCAACATACTCTCCCCACCGCACCCCAGTCTTTCTGGGTCCTAAGCACAGGTATCATATATAAAGGCAGGTGGATTTCCTTTCACAATTAAGGTCTGGCATAAAAAAGAATAAAACACTCAAGAGTTCAAACTGGTAACTTCATTAAAGTCTACATAAATGAGCTAAAACCACAACAACACCTCTGACTCACTGAACACTGACATGCCACACGCCGGGCTTGGTGCTGGCTTACTGTGTCTCAAAATGTCTCCCAGGTTCTGCAATGTCCCACTGGACAGATGAGAAGACTGAGGCTCAGAGAGGTTAAGTAACTTCCCCAGGCTCACACAGCATCTTGGTGGCCTGAAGCTAGCCTCAAACCTTCCCAGAAAACACACCAAAGAAAGGGGACATCCGGGCTCAGCTCTGGCGATCTCTCATTCTAGTTGAAAAATTTGCAATGAGACCATTGTTGTCTGCCTGTCAGTGGGAGAAAGGCAGGCACCGGACGAAGAAAAGGTGTCTTTGGCCAACGAGGAAAGGGAATTTTCTGCGTGAGCAAAAGAACAAAAGGTGACCATGTGGGGACAAACCAGCGGCTATCTTCCCCAGGGAAGATGGCGGGAAGTGAGGGAAGCACCCGTGTGCACTCACTAGTCATTTCATCATGGCCGCAGAGCCCACCAGAGCCCTCTCCCATGGACAGCGGGCCTCCCACAAACATGTGTTTGCAGTTTAGAGGGCCACCCCTGTTCCTACCCATTGGAAAGGCTTATCTGCTGTTCATATTGCATTACAGTCCATGCCCAGGATTTAGGCTTGGCTCTACCCTTCCAGCTCAGCCTTGGCTGCAGCCTTCTCAGCTGGGGGATGCAAGAGAAGGACAATGGTTTGCAGTTGGAGCTCCAAGAGAGGGAGTTACTTGGGACCTATGATTCATAGAAAATATCTCTTCCTTCATATCAGATCCCATGATTTCACAAATCCTGATTCAATTTAAGAACACCAAGAATCAATTACTCACTAGTTTTTACAATAATGTAACTGACCAGAGATCATATTCAAATAATTACTTGTTACAAGAAAGCAAAACTGAGGGCGCCTGGGTGGCTCAGTTGGTTAAGCGACTGCCTTCGGCTCAGGTCATGATCCCAGGGTCCTGGGATCGAGTCCCACATTGGGCTCCCGGCTCAGCGGGGAGCCTGCTTCTCCCTCTGACCCTCTCCTCTCTCATGCTGTTTCTCTCTCACTCGCTCTCTAATAAATAAATAAATAAAATCTTAAAAAAAAAAAGCAAAACTGAAAGGCTTAGGAAAGATTTTCAGAGTAACCCTTATTTTGGGTCAATCCTTAATGAATATTTATGAGGCCAATTGACGGAAGGATGAGAAAAAAAAAAAATCGAGGCTTAAAAAGGGCTCAATTAAAGGGGCTTTCCCTAAGTGGAGGCAAGTTTCATTAAGCAAAGAAGTTTCCATTAAACATTTTCTGAAAAGTAATGGTTTCCCTTGCAATGTGGATTTTGCAAAGCTGAAAAGACAAGGAAAAGGCACCATTGGTCTAGACCTATCGGAAGGAAAACCTCAGCACTGAGAGAGACTGAGAGGCCAAGTCGGCTGTGTCCCAAGTGTGGGAGTCCCTCCTATACCAACATGCCTCATATGGGTCCCCGGCTTCTGTTGTGCAATGGACTGCTCTCGACAGTCACTGTCCTGGGAGCTCTGCAGCACGCAGCATCAGCTGATTCCACTGGAGAACAGCCCTGGGAAATTCTTTCTTAAACCCCTCAGTCAGCCATTGGCATATTTCAAAGTCCTCTGACTCCTAAGGCAAGAGGAAGGCCCTGACTGCTCCCATTTCACTCGCCCTTCCAGACCGAGGCTTGCTGCCACCGAGTCGGTCCCGCTACCTGCTCACACAGGTCTGGATGCTCTGCCATCCTCCCTGATGACTTCCGCCTAGGTTCACAGGTGGCTTCCCACTCTTTCCCCTGTGGTTATTCTCAGTACTTTTAGATGTGTGGGTGATGCTTCTGGAATCCTGACTTTGTCACTCCCAACCTACTTCCCCATGACCTTCCTTATGGCTCCCCAGCTTCCCGGTCACGTGGGCTGCACCAAGCACATCCTCTCCTTGGAGGCTCCCACTGCGAGCCGTCCCTCTTCTCTCACCGGCTTGCCGGGGCTCCCAGGCACGTCCCCTCCTCGGTCCCAGCACTGCACCTCCCTCCTGCCCGCCATACACATTCATCAGCCAGCCTCCGCTTGGGCAGTTCTTTTGAATACTTCCCTTGTTGGCAGCCTAGGCTTCCGCATCCACTTGATCTTCTAGTAAGAGGGAAACACAAGAGGAACTGAGGGTTTTGTCTGCCGACATCCTACGCAATACGGTCAGCTCTACCTTCCCAACAGGTCCAGTGCCTTTGCCGCCACCACCGTCTCTTGCCCACACC